GGGGAGGGAAAGTACACTAAACTACCATAGAAATTTTTGACTTAATCTTCCAAGAGGATATATAATTGTGTGTGTGTGCGTGTGTGAATTTTCTGCGCAGAAGTTGCAGATCTTCTTCCTAAAGAGGCCCGGTCATGAAGTTAGATTTCGCTAATTGAGATTCTTGCAGAGCTATAAAGTTGGAGAGCATCTTGTCGCGGGGAGGGAAAGTACACTAAACTACCATAGAAATTTTTGACTTAATCTTCCAAGAGGATATATAATTGTGTGTGTGTGCGTGTGTGAATTTTCTGCGCAGAAGTTGCAGATCTTCTTCCTAAAGAGGCCCGGTCATGAAGTTAGATTTCGCTAATTGAGATTCTTGCAGAGCTATAAAGTTGGAGAGCATCTTGTCGCATCACATAAAACTTAATATTTAAAGCCTCAAACTAAAAGTTTAAGAACATCATACCGATAAATCCTTTGAGAATTTCTCCGCGATCACGTTGGCTTCTGTACCGTTTATCTTAATTTGGTAGCTGGACCGTCTCAAAATTAGGGTTGTCCGCTCCCAATTTTCAGGAGAATCCATCTGTTTCAAGAACAAAATAACAACAAAATAAAGCCCAGGTAATAACATATCATCAGTTGGCAGTAAAATATTCTGGAGTTAAATAACAGTTTTCAAAACTATTCAGCAAGTTTCAACATAAAGTACTAACAACCTTAAAAGTTTCGAATACAAATATGAATTATGCAAGACACGCAGAGATGGTAAAAGATAATCTGTTTAACTAAAATGGAAAGAGCCAAAATTGGTATGAATTATGTAATATTCGTCATCTGCGCCCATGTTCATTTTCTTCCTAAAACAAAAATCCAAATAACCCAATAAGAATACGTGACTTTCATTAAGCACAAATTTTCCTAAAGGCTAGCAGTTTATTATAGTGTTTTTTTTTTTTTCTTTTATAAGAAAAAAGCTTTATTGATTATGAGAAACAAGTACAAAGGAAAGGTGGCGAGGAGTCCTCAAGGGAAAAAACAAAAAAGCCAAAACAAAAAAAAACAAAAAAAACAGAACCAGCAAATACAAAACAAAAAATGAAAAAAATAAAATAAAATAAAAGGCAATTACAACAGTATAGTGTTAAACCAAAGAAATAAGTAACAACAATACAATAATGGAAAAAGTGATGGAACAAAAACCAAGCATACCAACAACAGAACGCTGAATGTGGCGTTTCCTCTGGAAATATGCGTATCAATCTCCATTTGCATCTCTGGGTCTGTAAAATGCGTCACCAGAGAACAAGACAAACATATTATCACATTTGGAAGAAGGAAGCAGTTGAAGAGATTTGAAAGGGAAGTATGCAAAAATAATATTAACAGCAACAGTCCTTATTGTCTTGACTTTTTATGCAAAGGATATTTTAGTTCAACAACTAGCATTTGAAATGTCCCAGAGAATGCTTACACTCGCGAACCAACTAATTTTCCATCCTTCTCGTCAATTTGCAATAAATAAAAGGATTAATTTTAAAAAATCTCTTTTGAACTATTGCCTTTGTCCCAACTTACTCCCCGAACTTTAAAATGTCACAAGCATATGCCTTGAACTATCAAACTGTTACAAGAAATTGCCCTCCATCCACATGGAAATATTGGGAGGTCTTTTTTTTTTTTTTTTTTTTTGAAACTATATCTATGTGATCAGTATAGATTCCGTCAAAAGATTTCGTAGAACTATATTGCTTCAAAATGTTTGTTTCTACAAAAGGAAGTTCTTACAACCATGTTAAGCTTTCATTGTATCAGTCATAAACTCTCTAGACTACTAGGCAAAAACAAAGAGCAGCAACTGCACAAAGATAGTAGAGAAGATAGTTTTTATAGAGAGGATATACACGACACCAAAAAAAAGAGTACCCAGTCGAAAGTATGGTAATTACTAAGGTTGAAAATAGTTGAGGCTCTGTCTTCTTAGACAACTTTGCCTTTCCCTTCTTTCCCTTCTTTCCCTTTTCCCGATTTCGCTTTCCCTTAGACCTTTCTTTTGGATCCAAAGTTTCCACAACTTCCTTCATTGCATAAAGGGCATTTTGCACCTCCACTTTGTCCGCCTTAGCACTGTGACTGGAAGGTAGCGTTTGGAATTCTTCCGTCAAAAATACCCACTCATCAACATTTTCGGGTGAGACAAAGTCAAGTGCGACTGTTATGCACATCAAGTTTCTAACTTGATGAGGACAGCCAGCAGCTATGAAGACAACATCTCCAAGTTTTTGAACAAAGGCCCACGGTTCAATCCCATATTCCTCTTTAAGCTTCCTTTTCGGCTCCATTGTCAAAAAACATGGTCTAATCATGAATGGGGTGAACAACCTTAGCAGTATGACTAGTACAACAGGTTATTCACCCAATTCATGATCAGACCATGTATTTGACTATGAGTCAGAACATTAAGAGGATGTGTATATTCAGGTGTAAATGTCACTTCAGCAGTATGAGTATTCAGGTGTAAATGTCACTTCAGCAGTATGAGTCAGAACATTTACTGCATCATACATGTCACAATGAACTTTGGTTACAGAATCTCCACATCCAAGCTCCTGTTGAACACCATAAGAAATATAGGTCTTGGGCCCCATGTCCGGCTTTAAAGATCCCTCAGGCAATTTGACAGAGGTTTAAAAATCCATTAAGAGGTAGACATGCCAAGCAGGAGATGAATTCGGCATTATGATGAGGCAAACACTCCCCAAATAAATTAGACGGGGGGCCAATCTTTCAATTTAAGCATCTGAGGCCACAACACCCAAAGGGCAGCTTAAGTGGCTCAGGATCTCACCTTACATGTGGGAGGTCTTGGGTTCGATTCCCCTTGGGGTACCTCCCTCAATTTGCCCTGGTGTGTTGGGATAGGAGGGTCTATTAGTCAGGTGCTCAAAGAGGCCTGGATACCCTAGGTTATCAAAAAAAAAAAAAAAAACAAAAAAGAGTATTTGGGGCCACATTTTAAAATCAAAACGCACTTTAAATATCCAGTGAAAAACTTATGGTTATTAATGTCACCCTCGCACCAATCCAAGCAATCAATGGCCTTGACTTCCAAATGTCTATCATGCTTCTCATGATGCAATTGACGACACGCATGACACATGACCAATGGTTCCCAGCTTAAACCTGATGTAGTTTCAAGCACATTATCAACAATTACCGGTTCACCTCTCTTCCAATGCCACCGAAAAAGCTTCAAATCTTCATGTTGGAATTTGCTAGCCTTTGGATTGTACAAATAGTTGTCATCAGAATCTTCTCGATTAGCAGCATTCCTTACCGTGTGGATACTCATCTCACTCGCATCCCTGGCATTGAGACATGAACATTGATGTGTAGGAATTTCAGATGTATCAATGAGTTTGTAAGAATCTGCTAGTTCTTTTGCTTTCTTTACCAACTCTAAAACAAAATTTTCTGGAAACAGGCTCCTCAATTCTAGAAGCACGCCACAGCAGCCCTCCAAGAACTTTGAAGGGCAAGGAATGCTTCCATCTTTAGTTGCTTTCCACTCCGAAAATGGAATAACACTGTCGTTACAACTGGAGCCAGAAGGAGCTTCCTCTTTGCTCTCACCACCATGCAAATACCCTAAGCCTCGATTAATGAATGGCATAATAACACCCTCCCCACCTCCCTACAGGCTGCAGGTGTCTATCTCGAGTCTCCCGGCAACAACCGAGGCAAAGGTCATATGAACATAGAGGACAGCTTCTGTGAAAATCAACCGTAGAAGTTTTGCAGTTGTTGCAATAAATACTCTCCTTTTTAGACTAATGTAACTCTTGTCTCTTAGCCTCCATCTCACTTTCAATTCCTTGTTCCTCATTTCATCTTTTCAAAAATGGAAGAAGCCCTTGAAGCAAATACCTTGAGTGCTCAATTTCTTCGTCCTTACTAATATTTAATTTCAGATTCTCAATCTTTGTTATTGTGCATCCAAACAGAAGCATGCTTTGCAATTGCAATTTTCACGGCATACAGGACAAGCCTCGGCAATGTCCTCTTCAACAACATTCGCCCAAAACCTCCTTTTTCCAACCCTTGCGTCCGCACTCTATTTCGACCATCTTCAACAACATTCGCCATTTCAAAATCCCCAACTTCCTGAACATTCTTGACATTTTTTCCATTCTCTAGAACATCCTCCACAACAACATTCATCTTTTCCCCACCATGCTTGACTGAAGGTTCCGGACTTTCATCATCCCGACCAACTTCCAGAAAAGGCAAAATAAGTTGTGGAAAGTGGTCGGGAAGAGGAAAGTTCGGAACTTTTTTCGTCAATAACGGTGGGGAAAAGGTGAATGTTGTTGGTGAAGGAGTTGAGAAGAAACGTGGAAGGCAGAAGAAGGTTGTGAAGGGATCATAAGTTTTGGTGGAGAAAGTTTCGGAAAAGGCAAAAGATGTTGAAGAAATATTGGGAGTTTTTCGTCTTACAGTGTCACAATTTACCCTCTAAACTTTATGTTGCTTGAAAAAGTTTGGGGGTAAACTACATAAAAGCTATAGTTCAGTGGGGGTCTTAAAATTATAGGTTTTATATTTTTATCAAGTGTAGGCACGGTGTCATGCTAACATCTCTTTGCGACATGATGGACGACATGATGGACAACCTGATAATGTCCAATTTAAATCCACTGATTTGAGAAACGAATATAATGAAGTGAAATTTGTAGTTTCTCATATTCTTTAAATACAAATTTGAGTAGAACCGTAAACAAGTAAAGATCGTTGTTTAACTGTTATATCGGATAAAACTTCCAAAAATCAGCTCAAATCAAGAATGGATAGAACATAAAATATAAGATTGTGCCTAATCAGATTATCCTTACTTGAAAAGTGAGTTTTTCAAGGAATAATTATTTCTTTCATTGATCATCTATTTATAGGATTTACAGAGCATATAAAAATCCTTCGAATCAGGAAAGTAATCACTAATTTAAGGAATATAGCTAATTCTAGGGAGAGACTAACTTTTGACAGATACTTTCCTAAAATACAAAGATCAACAGCTAATTAGCTAATTTACAGCTTTACAAAGATTGTTTCCAAAAACAGTTCCGATTTCCAACACTCCCCCTCAAGCTGATCTAAAGATATCTTCCGTAGCCAGCTTGCCAATTAAAAGGTCAAATTGTTTTTTGTACAGCCCCTTGGTGAAGACGTCTGCCACTTGTTCCTCAGTAGGAATATAGGTCATACACACCAAACCGTTATCTATCTTTTCCTTAATGAAATGCTTATCCACTTCTACATGTTTTGTGCGGTCACGGAGAACTGGATTATGGGCAATTGAAATTGCAGCCTTGTTGTCACAATACAACTTCATTGGAGATGACCCCAATGCCTTCAATTCCTCTAGCAATCTTCCTATCCACATAATCTCACAGATGCCATGTGCCACAGCTCTAAACTCAGCCTCCGCACTACTTCTAGCAACTACGTTCTGTTTTTTGCTTCGCCATGTAACAACCAAGTTACCTCCCACGAATGAGCAGTACCCCGAGGTAGATCTTCGGTCCACTATGCTTCCAGCCCAATCTGCATCAGTGTAGGCTTCAATTTGTAGATGTCCCCGTGACTTGAACAGAAGGCCTCTACCTGGTGTTCCTTTTAGGTACCTTAGAATCCTGTAAACAGCTTCAAAATGTTCCGATCCGGGTGAATGCATAAACTGACTAACCATGCTTACAAAGAATGCTATGTCAGGGCGTGTATGAGATAAGTAAATCAGTCTCCCAACGAGTCTCTGATAACGCTCTCTGTCCTTCACACTCTCAGCTTTTGTAGGTTGTAGCTTTACATTAGGCTCTATTGGCGTTTCAGCAGGCTTGCAACCTAACATACCCGTCTCATTAAGTAGATCGAGCACATACTTACGCTGATTTACAATAATACCTTCTTTGGACCTAGCAAACTCCATTCCAAGAAAGTATTTTAATGCCCCCAAGTCCTTGATCTCAAATTCTTCAGTGCGTCTTCTTTTTAACTTCTCTAATTCACTATAATCATCTCCAGTTAGCACTATATCATCCACATACACAATTAAGATGGCCACTTTCCCTTCCTTTGAATGTTTGTAGAACATAGTGTGATCAGCTTGACTTTGAGTGTATCCATACCGCTTTATCACCTTGCCAAAGCGCTCAAACCAAGCTCTAGGGGACTGCTTGAGTCCATATAAGGACTTCTTCAGTTTGCACACTTTTCCAGCTCCAAAACTTTCTTCGAAACCTGGTGGCGGACTCATGAACACTTCCTCCTCTAGGTCTCCATTAAGGAAGGCATTTTTAACATCCAATTGATGTAAGGGCCAATTAGAATTTACTGCAAGAGACAACAAAACTCTAATTAAGTTTATTTTAGCTACCGGGGCAAAGGTTTCTTGGTAGTCTATCGCATAGGTTTGAGTGAAACCTTTTGCCACAAGCCTAGCTTTATATCTCTCAATACTTCCATCAGCTTTACTCTTTATTATAAAGACCCATTTACACCCAACAACCTTTTTTTCTCTCGGCAATTCTACAATCTCCCAAGTACCATTTTTCCTCAAGGCATTCATTTCCTCAAACACTGCCAATTTCCAACTCGGTTCATTTAGTGCTTCCTGAATGTTTCTAGGCACCACAAGGTTTGAAATATTTGTAGTGAATGCTCTATAGTTGTTAGAGAGATTATTGTAGGAAATATATTTGGCAATAGGATGCTTAGTGCACGTGCGGGTTCCTTTTCTAAGGGCAATGGGAAGATCAGTGTCAAGGGCCTATGTAGGAATTACTGGGGCTAATTCTAAACAAGGTTCGGGTGCAGAAATTTCAGAATTAGAATTAGAGAGTGATGGCAAAGAATGAGTAGGAATAGAAGAATTACTTCAGACACTTGGAAGACCATCACCCAGGGCTTCCGTTTGACCATGTGTTAGGATGATTAATTGGTCTTTACTTCTTCCAGGGATATTCTTCCTTGCATAAACCACAGGCTCAAGATTGCTGCGAATTTTTTTCATTCGTAGTATTTCTTTTTCTGACAGACCAATGATATTGGGTTCGGATGCAGTGGGTTTAGTTTCCTTATTTTCTTTTTCCATTGATTTAAAAGAGATATCAAGGATCGGATTAGGTAAGGGTTCAACAATTTCCCAAAAATTTGGTTCAACTAAGTTCTCCCCCTGAAGTAAATTTTTGGTAAAATATGGGGTATTTTCCATAAGAGAGACATCCATAGTTGTGTAAAAACGTTTTGTAAGGGGATTAAAACACTTGTAACCCTTTTTATTAAGAGTATATCCTACAAAAACACATTTTTCTGCCCTTGGGTCTAGACCGTGACCTTTTTGGAAGGTGAACATATGTAGTGCAACCAAATATTTTTAAAGGTAATTCAGAATTAATTCGAGAATCTGGAAATACCTTTTTGAAACACTTCAGTGGTGTAGTGTACTGTAAAACTTTTGTGGACATCCTGTTGATTAAATATGATGCAGTTAGTATGGCATCCCCCCATAAGTATTTTGGAATATTCATGTAAAACATCATAGCTCGGGCTACTTCTAACAAGTGTTTATTTTTGCGTTCAACTATTCCGTTTTGCTCAGGAGTATCTGAACATGATGATTGATGTAAAATACCTTTTTCCTTTAAAAAGGTTTCCACGACTTTATTAAAATATTTTGTTCCATTATCAAATCTCAAAATGCTGATTTTTGTTTAAAATTGATTTTCAATCATTGTGTAAAAATCTTTAAAAATTCTTTCAACTTCAGATTTTTCCCGCATTAAATATACCCAGCAAAGACGAGTATGGTCATCTATAAAGGTTACAAACCATTTTTTCCCTGAAATAGTGGTTACCTTTGAGGGTCCCTAAACATCGCTATGGAAGAGAAAAAATGGTTTTGAAGCTTGATAAGTTTTTTGAATATAAGGTTTACATTGGCTCTTTGCCAATAAACAGCTTTCACATTGAAATGATAAAGGATTAACCTTTTTAAACAACGCTGGAAACAAATGTTTCAAATAAGAAAAACTAGGATGGCCCAATCTGCAATGCCAAACCATTATTTGTTCACGAACAGAAAGAGAACTAATACTACTAAGTCCTTGAGCAATTTTATTACTAGGTAAATTATCCTCGAAATAGTAGAGACCATTGATCATCCTAGCATTGCCAATCGTCTTCCCCGAGCTCCGGTCCTGAAAAATACAAGGGATTCATAGAAGGTGACACAACAATTAGAATCTCTAGATAATTTGCTGACAGATAAGAGATTACAAGTAAGTTTAGGAACATGGAGAACAGATTTAAGATCTATTCCCTCAGAAATTTTTATCAGACCTTTTCCTGCAATGGGTGAGAAATTACCATCCGCTATCCTAACCTTTTTATTTCCAGGACACGGTGAATATGATTCAAACAAATTTGAAGAGTTGGTCATATGGTCGGATGCTCCAGAATCGATTATCCATGGAGCAGATGATTTGGAATGACAAGCTAGAGCATTTAATTCATTACCTGTGTATGCCACAGAAACACTAGGAGTACCAAATGATGTCGAGTTGGATTTCAGCAGTGTAAGAAGCTGCTCCATCTGCTCCTTAGTGAAGGGGTTGGTTTCGGCCTCATTAGCAGCAGTGAGGGCATGTCCTAGTTTGTCACCTGTTTTACCTTTCCAATTCGCAAGTTTCCCATGGATCCTCCAACAAGTTTCACGGGTATGGCGAGCCCTGTTGCAAAAATCACACCAAAGACGTGATTTGTCATCTGATCTACGCTGATATGTGGTGGCTTTGTTATAGCCTCCACCCGTGGTTACCAAGGCTGAACCTTCAACAGCAACTCCAGGTCCCTTCTTGCCCAGCATCACATTCCTCCGACTCTCCTCTTTTCTAACTTCCGAAAAAACTTCACCAATTGAAGGCAGGGGTTGCCTTTCAATGATTCTCCCCCTTACCTCATAAAACTCGACATTGAGGCCAGCCAGGAATTTGAAGATACGATTATCCTCCACAGTCTTCTTATGATGGCGTCCATCCTCGGCAGATTTCCACTCATAGGTATTGAAGAGGTCCAAATCTTGCCAAATCCGCTTCAAAGAATTGAAGTATTTTGTGACGTTGTCCTCCCCTTGCCGAACTTCACCGAGTTTGAGGGTCAATTCAAAAATCTGAGATTGATTCCCTAAATCAGAATACATCTGATTTACATTTTCCCAAAGCTCTTTTGCCGTTGGATAGCACATGTAATTAGAGCTAATGTCTTCTTCCATAGAGTTCAAAAGCCATGTCATCACCATGGAATTCTCAGCGTCCCATGTAGCATAGTCCGGATCATCCTCTGCATGAGCCTTCTTGTCACCCGTCAGGTAGCCCATCTTTCCACGTCCTCTGATGTACATCCGAACTGATTGAGACCATCTCAGAAAATTGTCACCATTCAATCGAATCGTGGTGATTTGGACAGAATGGGATTCCGAGGTGGTTGTACTGATTTTTGTGGAATCAGTGGCGGTGGGATTGTTCAAAGATGATTGAGGAACAATAGGGAATTCATTTGAAATATCAGACATGGTGATAGAAAGAGCAGAGAATCGAATGAAAGGAAGAAGAAGAAGAATTTCAGTAAGCAATCGCCTACGCTCTAATACCAACTTGAAAAGTGAGTTTTTCAGGGAATAATTATTTTTTTCATTGATCATCTATTAATAGGATTTACAGAGCATATAAAAATCCTTCGAATCAGGAAAGTAATCACTGATTTAAGGAATATAGCTAATTCTAGGGAGAGAATAACTTTTGACAGATACTTTCCTAAAATACAAAGATTAACAGCTAATTAGCTAATTTACAGCTTTACAATGATTGTTTCCAAAAACAGTTCCGATTTCCAACATCCTTACACCCAAAAGATGACAAAGTAAAACAAATGAATCCTATATTCGACAAGTAAAATAAAACTAACCAACTAAATTAGGTATATGATTTTTAAGTTTAATATTCTTGAGATTTTTCAGGAAGCTTACCACATTTTATTTTGTTCTGATCATTAGCAAAAAGCCTGACAATATCTCCCTGGAAATGGTAACAAATTAAGTCAGAGAAGATAATTCCCATCACATGTATTGGAAAAAAGGCGCCAGATTTCACAATATGTCATTTAACGCAGTAAGCTACACAGGATAATTAATTAAAAAATCATCCTAGCACGAATCCACGCACACGCACACATCAAACATTCTTTCATATTTCTATGAGGCATAATATATGACTAGATCTAGCATTATTGAATAAGTTATATAAAAACCTGACGGCCTTGATCATCCATTGGAATGCACTCAACAGCAATTATTTTATCAACGTCATCAGCTGTGACAATGTATTCTGGATTTGTAGCTCCTGAATCAGAAAATATAATTATAGTAAAACTAAAAAGGATAAATGAAACTGACACAAAACAATTTACAACGACAAACTGTTATTTCACTAAAAACGTCTAATCTGCAATGACAGTACTAAGAAAGTCAAATCTTTTTTTTTCTGCTAACCTTCAATGTACTGCCTAGTCCCATCCTGAAGGTGACGAACCCACTGAAAGTACAAACACGATTGATGACATCTAAACAACAGAAAACTCGGTGTGTATGTGCACGCACGCATAGATGTAGTATACTGATATGCATATAGATTCATTACAGCTAGATAAATCAAACAGTTTAATAGATGGAACAAGGAATTTAACCTGAAACATGCAAAGAGAAGTTCCTCGAACTGGATATCCACATCCAAGAAGTTTGCCTCCTGGTATGGCATCACCAATAATCTGGAAATTATCTATGCCAGGGCCCTCTAAATTGAAATAACTAGAAAATGTTAGACACATCAGAGAACAAGCCACTGGCACAGAAATTGAGAGGGGGGGAATCACCTTCAAAAGCAGAATAAATTTCTTCATTTGTTTTGGGAAGGGGAGAGGAAAACAAGTTGCCACCTGCCATTTCTCCTATCCCCGCATTGGCAACACCTTTATCAACCGAACCATAAGGGAAACCGCTCGCCACCTCCCTGTGAGTGTACCGTTTCAGCTAAGGCAAATTGATAAGAAAAGGTTTTTTTTTATAAGAAATATCCTTTCACTGATTATTTTATCAATTACAAGTAGAAAAGGATGAGAGATATCTCCAAGATCCTCAAGAAAAACAAAAGAGAGAAAGACGAGACAAAAAAAAAAAAAAAAGAACTTGATCATCCTAGAGAATAAAACGATATTTTATTTTGCAATTACATCCATCCAATTTAGAATAGTCAAAGAAAACGGAATGTCCTAGAACTCTTTGTCGGTTGTTGGAGCCCAAAGCAAGGCTAAGAATTTCGCTTTCCAAAAATAGCTATCAGCCCCATCTCCTCCTAAAAAATTATGGAATTCCTCTCCCTCCATCTTGTCCATGATAATGCAAGCACCATTCATCTCCACAAAATCTTGCATGGAACCAAGACATACCATATCCTCAAATCAATAAAGATTTGCATTGTGCAAGGAACAGCCAAAGAAAACCTGCCTCCTTTAAAAGTTTCAAAAATTATTATTTAGTAACTTTGCAGGTGATCAAGTGATTGCCCCTCTTTTTTACGGAAAACACGCCGGTAAGGAGTCGGAGAAATGTGAGGATTTCTCCTTTGGGCCATATCACAAGTATTTAATTTCCCATGAAAAACCAACCATGCAAAAACTTAACTCTTTGGGAAACACAAGATTTCCAAATGTAATTAAAAGGCTCAAAAGTAGGAACCTCAGGGCTGTCAACAAAAATGGGAAAAGGACATTTACACGAGAACCCAAATTTTATATGAAAAGTTCCTAACCGTCAACTGAGTAGTGTTCATAGAGACATTTAAAACAAAACACTGTTATTTAGAATGAACAAGAAGGAATAAAACCCATAGTATCATATGTACTAAAATCTCCAGCTAAAAGAGAAAAAGCAGGGGGAAAAAAAAGGCAATTGTGAAATAGTTCATTTCAAAGGGAAGTAAAAGAAATATTATAAAATTTGACAAATCATTCCAAAATTAGCTCAAGTATTTGGGGCATGTCAACATAGAAAGTCTCAGTAAATAAGTCATTGTGACACCAAAATGTTATTGGAAGAGGAACGAAGAGTAAGGATACCATGCTTATTAACATTCAAGAATGACATTTTGAGACATGTAAGCTCATTAAGTTTAGAAGTACTTGACACAAATAAGAGATGAGAAAAAGTTACTCCTAATGTAGCTAAAAGCTAGCACAAATTCAACTGTGAGTGGTAAGGTAAAAGAAGGATCAAAATTTAAGAAACTTAAATAGAACTCAACAAAGAAAGGAAACCTAGCAGTGCTCATTATGAAAAGAGAGAATGTCATTTTTGGTTAGCATCAATACCTCGTATCTGGAGGATCAGACATATAAGCCGAGGAATTGTCAGTTGGATCCGGATGTTCTTCATCAACAAACTGGTTATAGGGAGGTGATCCACGTTCAGTGAAAATAAATAAATAAAGTTTCAATAGTAAAGCATAATTCACATGGTATGTAATACTACCGTGGGTCTATGAGAAACTTGACCATTCAATGCACCAGAAGCTCTGCCACCTTGGCTATGAGATCCACTTTCAGGATGAGTTTCCACCACTGTTGTTATTTCTCTAATTTTGTCCTGCAAAAATGCACAAATGCCTTTATTGTACTTGGCAAACATCTTCACGTATCACTTGTAAGTCTGAGAGAAAACTTTTCAATGAGGCATTTAAGCGTACACACAAGTCTTGAAAGACCAAGTTGTCCTGAATATGATTAAAGGTTGAGGGACCTAACTCCTAAGAGGTGGTTTCTGGGGTTGCCTTACTGACTTGATTCATGGCCTTTATATAGATGTTTTGCTCACAAACTGCAAGCTTCAGAATATCTCAGTTCTGACTCTACATTAGAGTGCAGCTGATAAGCTAGATTGATAATTTATAAAGCGGCCATTAGAGATTTATTAAATATTCAACAGTTCAGCTTGAAGTTTCATGCGCCTAGTCTGAGTGTGAGCTGTCAAATGCCTAGATTCTCTTTTCCCTTCATTTCAGTTATTTTTATGTTTCCTATTCTTCTTCAACTGTCCGGTCTTGTAATCTAGCTTTCAGCAAGAACTTAGCAAACAAATACAAGCCAACAACCTACTTTTAGCAAAACTAGGTCATATATAACCTTTGTTGGTTAACCATTTCAAAATACGCACTTTCACATAGTTTTAGGGGACACACTAAGAGCCCAAATCAAGTCAGAGTACAAGCCAAAATAGACTAGACTAATTTGCTACACTTTGTAGAAATTAGATGTAAATTCCCAATACGAATAATCATTACAATCATGTAATCACAAGATACGAAGCTTACATGTGAAGTTCTTATCTTCCACTGCAACTGATCATGTAGGTACTGCAGATACATGAAAATAGGAAGCTTTATTCAAAAACAAGTACATGACTGATAAGAGAAATCATGCTCAGTTATACAGTGTGTTTTAGTCATTCCTATAGGCCTAAAAGAAGTGATATTAAAAGAGAAACTCTTAGAAATGCTATGAGAACTATTTAAAGAGCACCCAAATGTCTACCAAAGAACAATATCCCTATTGTATTTGGAAGTGACCGAGGTGAAGTAGCATGACAATGCTTTTTCACCTAAATGGGAGATGTTAATGTAGTTTGGGACAGAATTAAATTTTGTGGCATTGTGGTTGTCTCAAGTTAAAGGCCTCAATGTTTTTTCCTTTTCAGACTTGCTTAGAGGATAGGATTTAGCCCTTCATTAGTTTTGTGTTCTTAGTTTTTTTGCTTCCGGTTTTGTTTTGCTTTGGTGGACTCATTGTCCCTGTTGTACCATTTCTTTTTGTCCTTTTATTAATAACATTCTCTCGTTTCTTATAAAAAAAAAAAAAAAAAAAATCATTAATTATTATTCTGATATGCTGTTTCATTGGAGAATGATACAAGTTGACATATTAGTGAAACTTTTACACAGTCGACCGGATGTCTAGCAAGATGTCGTTTACCCATCGCCCCTCAGTAGAACTTAAATGTATCTTTTACAAAATGCTCAGTCGAGGCTTGAGTAGAATAGGAGTTCACAGAGACATGTGGAAGGCCAAGCAGCTTTAGTAATTTATAAGGCTGACAAGCTTTAGAGAGTAGGGCAAGGTTCCCATATGACAGAAGGTTGTAAGCTGTGACTCGGCAGAGATGGTTCAAATCAAGCAAAATCAAAGACATCTGTTCAAAGCCGAGATGCTAAGAACCGTAGACTTAAGGAACATTGAATGGTAATTTTAGTGTTCTTTTCGACTGCTGGAGATGCCATGGTAGAACATCCCTTCACCATTCTAATAACCAGAATTTAGCCACAAAAAACTCATCAAAGCCATTAAAGTAGTTACTTGTTGATGTTGCATAAATCACCAAAGTGAAACTTCATGTTACCAATCCATGTAAATCATGGCCTACGACCACCAGACCTGCTGCCTTAATAGGTCCTTAGTTGTGGATTTGTAGTTGGTTGTGCGTGGAAAGAAATTCATAAGCATACTTTACAGCTATAACATGCTTTACAAACTTAACCAATTACCTTCAAACTGCTTGATATAGAAGATGCATTTATGACACGAGGCCAAATGCGATATTCAGCCAACAACCCAAGCATCGATGACATGAAGACATATCTTTCATCTTCAGCAGCCTAATATACAAATACATCGTTAATAGTTAATACAGCAACGTTGCCCGTGAAAAAAAAATTTTAAAAAGGTATGAACAAAAAAAAAACAAATATAAGAAAGCTGCAAGAGGCACTAATATAAATACAAAGTAGTTCAAGAAACTTCTAAATTGATATTTAGACAGTAAAAAACACATGCTCCTCATTTCTCATCATAGATGGGACACTTCAATGGTAAACAAAGTCAATATTTACATTAATATTGTGATTCTGTCAAAATTTATTTGCTTAACTTGACAATCTGGCGTGACTGCTAAAAATTTGCATAACATAGCAAATACATAATATTATTTGGAAGGTAAAGGATAAGCAGCATTGAGAATTAGGTTATTAATTCACCTTCAATTCATGGGTCAATTTTAGATTTTCTTCAAGATCACCTTTTCTACGCACCAATTCATTTAAGGCTGAAGATACAGCTTCATTCTGCTTCTCATCTATTGCCTATCACTCAAGATAATGTTATTTCACCATCAGAACTTTGAAACGAATATAGGGCAGCAATACTATCAAAGTCAAAGAGAAAAAAAAACAAAGAACCATTGCAATAAGAGGACTTCAGCACGCTAAAGATTTATTAATACATCTCAAGATATGAGCATACCAAACGTAAGTCCGAAAATTTCCTTTCTAATGCATACTTCTCATTAAGCAGCCGTAATTCCTGGAACAATGAAAACCATTGCATTCCATTAGACATGAAAATGCAGAAGTACATTAACCATAGCAATACTTGCATTGGAAGAAATGGCATACCTTCACAGAGGCAACAACAATTTGTTCACGAAGAAACTGGATCTCCTCTTCCTGTTTTCTGACTCGTGAATACAGTTCCTAATTGCAGACTTTGTTAGTGTAAAGGAAGAGTATTGAGTTTTATTGTATTGATTCGACTGAAAAAATAATGATATGATTATACCATAGCCTCTCGGTCTTGAAGATGAATAAAATTCCCATCTCCTTTTAAATTCTTTGGGCCAAAATGTTTCTCGGATTTATGCCTAAAAAAGGAAGAAAACAAAACAGGAATGATGATGATCATATCCAAATTCGAGTTCTTATTGCAAGTACTAATTCCAACATACTGACAAAAAAATCAAAACGTAACTCCCAAAAATATTTAAGACGCGAAAACTTGCAAAAAGAGAAATCGATTACCCATCTAAAACATCAGGACTATGATTCTGGACCCCATCATCCTTGAGCAAATGCAATGAGCCCTTAAGAGAAGACATCTCATTGAAACTTCAAACTTCTCTTTGACACAACCTCTGATTGAATCATAACGGATCTTTTCCATAATAACCAACTGAATCTCGCATTTTAGCCCAATTCATTTTCCCTTCCCATACTTCAAAGTCCAATGCCTTTACCAAAAAGATTGCACTACCCAAGTATCCCTATAACTATTAAGAGCAAAAGAGTTGGTCATGCCACACAATGAAAAACAAAATAGAATTATAGGCGTAAGTTTTGAACAACGTCAAATAGGAAAAACCCATGTCAGGAAACATAAATACAATATCATATAGAACACTAAATGGATAAAATAATTCTTCTTAATTAACTGTCTTGATAAATAAGTAAAAAGGGCAAAAAGCTGTCCTTTAACCTCAAATTGGATTTGTCCAAAGGCAATTTCAATAACCATATTACAAAGCTAAATAATGCAAACACAAAACGTAAGAAAAGTTGGTGACAAATAACTTTCCCAATTCATGTGAAGCGCCTCAGATAAAAACATGGTCAAAGTCCCAAAAAAAAGTGTCAAATTAAAACATGAAAAGTGATTCCCAAATACTAACAAATCTTGACCATACAAAGCTAAATATTCCTAAATCAAACAAACCGAATACCATAAAATCACGTACACAATTTCAGCAGAAGTTTCCAACAGAAAAAAAGGTGGGATATTCCATGTAAGTTCCAAAGAAGATGGGATTGTCAGAAAACACGAAAAAAAAAAAAAGAAACAAATTTGTGAAGTACCTTTTCCCGTACTTGAAATATTATCTTCAGGTGCCCTCTAAAGAGGAAAACATGAAAAAGGTGAGAAATCAGAAAACAGAAAGAAGGCCACAGATCCGACTAAAATGCCCAAAAGGGCAAAAAGAGCATAAAACAAAAGGGGAAACAATGGATGTTCTTGAATAACAGTGTTGTACGGTTGCGTGGTTTGAGTGTTTTGACGGTTTGTTATTTGGGCAAAAAAGTCTGTCAATGCCTCTAATTTAGGGGTGGGAGCTATTAAAAAGGTCCCCTCAAAGAGACATACTGTAAATTTTCAATATTTAAATCTGATTAAAACTTTTTTCATATTAAAAAAGTATATATAAAATGGATAGATATCACCTTTGAAAAATATAAAATTACGGGAGAGAAATTCCCAATTGAAAAAGGAAAATGCCCATTTTCCATGCTTTTCCATTTGTATTGTAGTTATTGAGTTGGACTTGGAATGATAATAGAGTGTCAAAAAGCCAAAAGTAGGAGCGTGTGAAAATGGGAATTTTTTTTTGGAAACGATCAGGAAGAAGAGAGGAAATTGTTTATTCATTGGTGTGGCCAATTGGCAAAGAATGGTCAACATAAGTGGAGAATCTGCACATTAGAGTGAGTTTTTTTTTTTCTTTTTTCTTTTTTTTTCGAGTATGTTGCTATGTTTGCTCTATTGGTCAAAAAAGTGGTGAATCTGCACATTGGAGTGAGTTGCTATGTTTGCTCTATTGGTCAAAAAAGGAGGTGATTATGCTTTTTGTGGGGGGGTTTTTTTTTTTTTTTTTTTTTTTTTTTTTTTTTTTCTCGCGCACTAGTTGCTTTGCTTGCTCTATGGACAGCAAAATTTCACCCTTCTTTAGTTATTTATTTATTTTTGCTAATCATTGTTCGTATTTTATGCGTGGTAATTTCTAAAATATATTAATGATTTAAAATATGATTTTTTGCACTGATATCTCTAAATTTGAGCATGTTTGGTACAAGAAGTTTAAATTCCGGTTCAATGGTCTCGTTCATTTTACCGATTTGAGTTTTCAGTTTTAGGTGTCTACAGTAAAAAATTCTCAGAAAATATAACATCTATTTTTTTTTTTTGCTACAGTAAAAAGCTTTCAGAAAATGTCACATCTCAGCTCGAATTGAAAATTCGAATCTGCAAAGTAAACGGAACCTTTGTTATTGTGTTTTTTTATATAAAAATTTAAAAATGCGTTTGATAGTTTTATCTTGAGATTATTTTTAATTTAAAAAAAAATTAAAATTATATTTAGTGGTTTAATTTTTAAAAATATATAATAATAATTAAAATAATAATATATTAAATAAACATTATATACATGAAAACGTGTGTTATGCTACTACAGAGGAAATGGGTGTGTGGTTAGGGGCAGCGAGGTCGTCGGAGAAGAAGTAGTCGTCCAGGGTTCCGACTCTGGTGAGGTGGAGGAAGGGGCGGCGGCCGCACTCTCTCTCTCTCTTTGTCCCCCTCTCCTCTCTCTCTCTCTCTCTCTGTCGAAGATTCGCGCCGATGACCATCGTCTCTCTCCTCTATTCTCTCCGTGTCGAAACAATGCCCCGGAGCCATGCCTCCTTCACGTCCCAGATCTGAAAATCACCGTTATTTTATCTCCTCCGGATTATGATCAAACAGTTTGGGCATGGAGGTAACAGAAATCCATTTACCTATTCTTGTTTACTATTTTCAACCAAAACACTGATGCTGAAAATGGCCAAAATGGGCGCATACCCATTTTTTTCCTCTCTCTCTCACGGCATCTTTCCTTCCCTGCCTGTCAATCAGTCTTGTCTCACTTTTCTCTGATGGTGGATGATAGAGGTCTTGTACTCCTTATAATGCCCGTAAGAAGATCGGATAAGAGGTGGGGTCGGGGGAGTCGGAGAAGAGTGGGGGGAGGGGGGGCGGTCGGAGAAGCCCATCCCCACCCGGTGCAGTCGAACGGAGAACGAAGAACAGCGAGGAAAGAAGAAAAGGAGAGTAGAAGAAAATGGAAAACGAGTATAAACCGTTTTCAGAAATGTATACAAAATATGAAACGGGTCAAAAACGTTTTCAGTTTCAATTTTTAAGAAAACACAAACCAAACGTTTTTGAGATTATTTTTAGTTTTTGTTCCAAAAAAACGTGAAAAACGTTTCTGAGATTGAAACTAATCGCGCTGTTGGCCCTGTTTGTTTCCCTTCTCGTTTTCATTTTTCACGATTTTCGAGAATGAAAAATGAAAACGCATTTGGCGTCAAATTTTTGAAAAATTAAAAACAAAAACGTTCTTGTCCTTATATGAAAATCTGAAAACGATTTATTTCCGTTTTCATTCTTCTGTTTTCATTTTCTCTCTTTAGCAAATTCACTCTGCGACTATGCGACTGCGCGCCCCCCGTCCCCGTCTCCGACTGCGCGCCCTCCCCCCAGTCTTCTGCGACTGCCCGCCCCGCCGTCTGCGACTGCCCGCCCCCCCCGTCTGCAACTGTGCGTCCCCCAAACACAATTTTAGTTTTTTTAAAACTGAAAACAATTTCAAAATAAAACTACCAAACGTATTTTCAGAAATGATTCCAAAATGAAAATAAAAACGTTTTTATTTTCATTTTCATACAGAAAACAAAATCATTTTCATTCCAAAATGAAATTGTTTCTGTTTTTTTTAACGTTTTTCGAGAAAAAAATGAAAACGTTTCTAAAACGACGTTTGGCGCAATAAAGACAAAAAAAGAAATGAAAATGATTTTTTGGTTTAGTGTAAAATGAGAGAGAAATGAAAAATGACTTTTAATCATTTTTCATTTTTTGTTTTTGTTTTCTTATCTCTCGAACAGAGAGAAAGAGATAGAGACATTAATGAGTTTTTTTATACTGAAAATAATCTCTTGATAAAACTATTAGACGCATTTTCAAAAATGATTTCTGTATGAGATTAAAAACGTTTTCATTTTCATTTTCATACAAAAAATAAAATCATTTTAGAACGAGTTCCAAACGCGCTTTTAACATTTTGAATTTGTAATTACTAAAAAATATTACAATAATTAATAATGGTGATATATAGTATTGCTCCATAAAGAATTGCACTACTTAGTAATTATGAAATTAGAGGAGATAATCTACTAGATAACGAAATTATACCTTTTTTTTAATTCCGACGACAAACTTATTCGGTAGTATTGAAAATGAAGCTCTCAAATTTCTATTTTCTTTGCATTTCTACAATATATTTATACCAATATTATTTTGTGAATATTATCTAAATGATCGAGAATGACATATGTTGCTCTTTGTTATTTGTATCAAAAACTTATTTACTAATAATGCTATAAAAATATGTTATAATAATGTTGGGATGTGGTTTTAACGGTGACTCTAATATTTATCCATCACTAGGTGTCACTTTTATAACCCAAGATATTAATCCGACAGTTATAATAAATTGAATAATTGACAAAAAAATTAATAACAATTAATAAAATTAAATTTGTATTGCTCCACGTCATTAAATTTCTATATTTAGAGGTGATTACCGATAGAAATATAACCATTGAAAACTCATCAAATAATGTTGATATTTAATTATTTTATTGATGAAGAATATATCTAATCTAATCTCTTAAAAAAAACAAAAATCAATTAATCCACTACTCCATGATGCAAGATATGCAAATGTTTTTGCTCGACATTTGGAAATTACTTCTTAGAATTTTAACTTCTGTTTAGTGTTGATACATGCATAGAGAAGAAAAAAATAATAACAATAACGGAGACTCCATCCAAATGTTGGAGCTAAGAAGCTCAGCTACCTGACTGGATTATCAAGAATATAGCCAGATAAAATGTTAAGATGTTATTGTATTTGTGCATGGATGCAAGGTTAAACCCAGTTCACAGTCCAATAACTGAAATCCATCAATCAAGTTTCTGTTTTCTCACTTGTGAAAAACTAATTCAAGTAGAGTTGGTGATCATCATGCTGTAATTCCTTCCGAATCTGATTTATAACGCCATTTAAATCATCCCACGCAGAAAAACAGATTAGAAAGGACCTCAAAGAACTAGCAATATGAAAATCCCAGATCTTTTTCTTTCATTTTTCTCTGCTTATCCCTCTTCGGAAAGGCGGTAGACAGGAAACCAAAGGAAGACCCAACGCCCTTATTTGGAGCCAAATTAATGTTTAGTACTCGAAAGAACTTTTTATACCTTCAAGGCTCTCTCCCAACGATAATCTGCAATGCCGACTTGTATACTTTAGTGAAACACAGTAACAAACTATTTAAAGAGGTAAGCAAGAAAGAACAGTAATTCTCATGTTACCCATAAGTTAATGGGAGACGAAAAATGTTGAAACTACAATAGGAACTTTCAAGACACCAACACAGATAATATGACAAGTAATTTTGGCTAGGAAGGTCAATCCCCAGTCCGCACAGCATATACTTGGATCAGATCTCACCCTATGACCTTGATACAAGACCTGAATTGCCGGGCCCTAAGCAAGCTATAATCTTAGATTCTTTCTGTGTGGTGTTGCAAATGGTTAGATATAATCCGTCTGCTATCCCTATCCAAAGAGTGTATGATAATACTAAAAAGCCAAAACTGTTATAAACAGAACCAAATGCAGCACAAGGTTTATCAGTGTCAACTTGAACGGAGAATGACAACAAGGTGATATACAAGTTTCATAAAGACAAGGGCGTTTACTGTCTACGTTCAAGATGAAAATAGAAACTACTTGTCCCTTACACATTGACAGGACATTCCTTAATGCCGCACAAACTGACATCAGAGCAGAGTCGCACATCCTCTTGGTCAAAAATACATTGTGGACAAAATGCTTTAATTATAAAAGAAACAAGACTTAACATCAAAGAGCATCCACCAACAATCATTTTTTCCTTTCCACGTTTTCTTCCCCAGGGTAGATCAAATATACAAACCACCACCCTTGATACATGAATATTGAGAGATGCTATTTAGTTTTCTTGTTATTGATTTTAGACACATTACCTAATTTTTGAAGCCTCTCTAGCATATATGAAATAAGAGCAACAAATACTACAATTGTCACACCAACCAGCCACTGACTTATATTCTCTTCGAAAACAGCAAACACGCACCTGCTAATTATCACGTGGTGCTCAATCACTCCTGACTCCATAAAGGTTATGGAACAAGAGGTAATTCATGTTGTCAACACTCTCTTTGGTAGTTAAGAGTATATGATGTTAGCACATCGATAATCTCTACAGTTCCTACCTTACAGTTACCGGCCACGAAAAACCGCTAATGCTTAAACTAAATACCCTTTAACCCAGCACCTGTCCTATCAAGAGTTGTCAAATGCATATAGTTCATATATTATCAGCAGTTCTATCTCTAAACTGCACACACAAACATTTATACATTGAGCGCCAGACATGTCCAAAGACTCCAGCTCTCCACATAATCCAGCAAATGAAGGCCAAACTTGTGAAACTAAAGTCGTAGATATCGTTTAAATATTAACATAATTCAAAATGATAAGCTAAAATTGTGGATATCGTCTTAAAAGGACAACTCCTCCTCTTTTGGTTGTACATAATTTTTCTTATATTAATAAAGTTTCCTGTTTCCAAAAAAAAAAAAAAAAAAAAAAAAAACCAAATGGACTAGTGGCAGTACTTTTTTATACGTTTAAAATTACTTTTAGCACATTAGCTCTATTAAACTTTCAAATCCAATAACTACGAAACTTACTTATGCATACAGTACTTGAACTCTTGTCCCCTGACAAGATCTTTCTCTCCTTCTTCAAGCTACAACAATCAAACACATAGAATGTAACCAATTGGTGACCCCACAAGCACGAACTAGATGAAACCAATTGTGTAAGAGAATTTTTGCCTCATCCCTTACCGGATCACTCTCATAAATGATCTCATAACAAGTCGGAGAAAGGCAGCGTAAAGCACAATTTTCTTTTGCTGTTGCTGAAGACTTGCATTGCCAACCCCATAATCCACTGTTCCAAAGGTAAAGCACAGTGAAAAACAATCATACAATCCAACAAAAAATGAGAACCATTATTACAAAGCAATTAATATTTACTTCTGTACCTCTCAATATCGGCATAGCACTGGTTCTTTTTCTGTCTGGTCTCAAGGTCCTGTGAAAATGCCATATGAGAAAATAATAACCAAAATAAAAATAAAATTTAATAAGAAAACGAGAAAACAGCAGACAGGTTGATGGTATACAGTTATAGGGCGACGAGATTTGGCGAAAGCAGTGGGCACAGCGGTCAATAATAACAATAACGATAAAAGAAGGGAAATTCTGATTATAAGAGCGGAAATAGGAGGCCGAGCCTTTTGATTTGCCATTTGATTCTCTATTTTGGGTGTTCTGGGATTAAAATTTGGATATCAAGATAATGGCATGTCTTAAGAGTCAAGGAAGATGTGTGGATGCAAACACCAAGTTGTGCTCCCCTGCATCATGTCAAATAACTTATCACTTTACTGTAGATGTTCAGCCAGGAGAATTAAGAAATGCGGATAAAATCACTGTATGCCTATTAAGCATCTATCCATGTGAACTGAAATAGTGAGATCAAATCGAAGATATATCAGAAAGCAATAAAAAACTTGGGAAGTAAAATCATCATTGTAAAGTTAACAATGCACAAGCCACACAATAAAGCCAAACAAAAACACTACCAAATGTGACAAAATCTTCTTCTTTCTTTTTTTTTTTTTTGGTTCTTTTTTTTTTCTGCTCAAATTTGACTTGACTGCCGTAAGAGACATTCATAAATTTAGATTGCGTAAAAAAAAAGTATAAATGGTGCTAAATCAGCAAGTACAACTGCTCATAGAAGCTCTTCTGTGTTGGATATAGAAAACAAAACCACACAAATCTCGGCGACAGAACTATTGTTCCTAAGCCTATATTATTTCGACAAATACTATGCTATCCATGAACGTTCAGAGAAGCTAAGAAAAGCTGAAATTTCACACAACGAACCACCACCCATATTGATTAAAGGAAGGAAAAAGATAGAAAACAGCTTCCAGATTGATTCACTATTCCAGCCGAAGACTAGAAAATCGGCAATAACAATACTTAATTGGAATGAAAAAAGAAGAGGAAAAAAAAATTTGGAATTGCGAAAGAAATCAGCTTCTTTTGGAGCTGTGACAATCAATTTCCGAAATCCGAAAAAGGCATGAGTAAATCAAATGAGCAAAACTCACAAAAAAAAAAAGACGATGAAGATCGTTGGCTTACGTTCTAAGGAGAACAGGAGGAGTGGCTTCTGAAAGCGGCGGCTGAGGAAGAAGGAGAGAGAAGGGAGGTTTTCAGAGAGAGAGAGGTCGCCGGGTTCTCCGGGAGGGGGATTGATGAGTTCGCCGGAGCGAGCCGCTGGTCAATTAAAGTCGAAAGGAAAAAAGAGTAAATTGTACTATTGAACTCTATTTTTAACTTTTTGCATAATACACCTTAAGTTTTTAACTACGGAAAATTGAATATCGTAGGTTACAATCGGTAACCATGTAGATGTCGGCTGACGGTTTTATACACTAAAATCCGTACACTAGAGGAAAACTCGACATTTTTCAAACTAAGGTCCGTTTTGTTTAACTCAGTTTAAATAGTGAGTACAGTTTAAATTGATATTTAATAATCATATAGATTGAATTATATTTTTTATTTCAACTGAGTTAAACAGCTCAATTTAGCTTTCATCTTAAATTTAACCATTCAAATTATTTTTAAACAGTAAAAAGTATCAACTCTCTCTACTTTTCACACCTATTAATCATAAATTTAAATTTTATTTTCTGTTTAAATTAAAATTTTAACTACAATGTTTAGTTGTTTAGTGGGGGGATTCGTACCCCAATTTAAATTATAATTCGTGGTTCGCTATAATATTTACTCTCATAAAAAATATACGTAAATTAAAAATAATTTTAATTTTATAATTTTAATTCATGAACCAAACGTAATGACGTTATTTCAAATTACAATTTAAAATATATAATTTAAATTTTTTTGTTTAAATTAAAAAATTTAAGTCAATAAAATTTAAACCAGCGTAAATGGGGGCTTAATTGTGAAGATAAATATAAAGAGATGTGTTTTAAAAGTACGTATAAAAGATAGAATGAGGTTGTCAATAAACGCCGTTGTGCAATTTGAAAAATAAAAAAACCCTAGAGCTCAGGGCTTGTCAGCGACCGCTTCCGGCCAGCCGGACTGTGCAAGCGCCGCCGCGTCGGCCCTTCTCTCCAAGCATTTTGCCGTCACGAAAGCCCCTTCCTCTTTCGCCGATTTCAAGCCACCTGCAAGGCAAGCTACTCCACGGTTGGTTTTCTATTTGTAGCTTCTGTAATTTTTGCTTGAATTTGGGATTTTGTGGTAGAGAAACCAAGTCTTTGCTTCAATTTTATGATGGGATGGGATTTCACAGATTTTACAAATCTCAAAGTGGGTTACTTTGATGGAAATCAATGGATTATAATGCTTATTCGGGTTATGTGGTTGTTATAGTTTTCAAATTGTGAAGTTGAGATTGATACATTGAGGAGTGTGAGCAGGAACAATGGAGATAACAAAAAGGCCTATTTGGGGAAAATTGAAAACAGTAGAGTGACAAAGAGAAAGAGATTTTCGTTAAGTTGTTGACTATATGAATGACAAAGCTTCAATTGTGTTCTTCCGTATCTTTTTTCTTTTTTTTTTTGTTTGAAGTTGAAGTTGTTTATAGATTATTGAAGTTGTGTTTGAAATTTTTCTTTGAAGTTTAATTTATGAAATAGAAAATAGCTTATGGAATGCGTTTCATTTTAGAATTTATTGATAATTAATTGATGTTCTTGGATTTTGTTTGATTGCTGAAAATTGCTATTCTGATTTTTGGTTGATATTGGTGAAAATTTCTATTTTTATTGACTTGTGTGTTTAGCTACTTGTGATTTTTTGTTGATTATTTTGCTAATTTTAGAAGATTGATATTAGTTTAATTAGATCGATATTTGGTTGGTATCAATTTGTTATTATTAGAAGTTCATATTTGGGACATTTCCTTGTGATTTGTGAAATTAGTTTGATATTTGTTGGAAATGGGTATGATTGTGGTGTTGCTAAATGTTTGATTTTTATGATTTTTATATTGGAATTGCAAGCTAAGCAATATAGCCACAACATTTAACTATTCAATTTTTATCTTCATATTGTGATTTATTTTGGGCTTTGTATTTTTTTTTTCCTTCATATTATGACTTATTTGACTATATAACTTTTATATTCATGTTGTGACGTACTTTGCACTATTTTATATGCTTCAAATATACTTTAGATTCGATATGCTTCTGTATAGCATGCTACTTAAGTGGATGGAGGACATTCTCTATTGTTTTCAAAAATTACTAGTGTAAATGTCCAACAATATACTCTTAAAAAGGAGCATTTGTTTTAGAAAGGAACAAGAAAAACATTGTGTTTCCATTAGAGTAAAAATTATGGTTACAAGTTTATAAAAATCAATTAAACTCATTTTTTGGTAAATGAGGTTAAAAATGTCATTTTCAACACTATATACACCTAGAAGTGTTTTTTGATTCAGAGAGGGGCATTTTGGTCATTGTAAAAAATTTTACAGTCAAATTAGGGTTTTTTATCACAGTCAACTAACAGAGGGGTGTCTTTGTAGTTTTTTTTTTTTTAAAAGTCAAGGGGTGTTGACGTAATTTGCCTTGGTCAAGGAAGTGTTATTTCAGCAAAACACATGAAGTGTTAAGTGTGTAAAAAGCCCTTCAATGGGGCTTATCCCTCGATCTGCCTTGAGGCTTATCCCTCTCTCAATCAGACAAAATGCATCCGCATCTGATTCCACCTTTTAAAACTACTTGTGTGATTATTGCATCTTCTTCTCATGCTATGAGAAGGGAAAACAAAGCATGAACCTTGTGAAATTTGGTACTTCATCAGTTTTTGGAACCAACCACTATAGCGGTCATGACGTTGCCAGTGATTTGGGTTTCATTAAATCTGGGGTTTTTTTTTTTTTATTTTGAAGATATCTCTGAAGTTTAATCCCGTTATTCTTGAGTTCCTTCATGTATGGATTTTATTTGGGGTTCACACCTCGTTAAATTTAGTAATTTTGGATTCTTAAGAATGGCTTTTTTATATTTTTGGGTTCTTACTTTTAACTTTCATGTGTGATTTAGTTAATCAGGGTATAGTGGTCATAAAATGACTATCTGACGAAGTGAATTTAGTAAAATGGTTTTTCATTTTCGCATATAAGGACCACTCAATCGTGCGGTATAAAAAGTTATTGCGTGGTCTTTTCAAAGTCATTTTGCAAATTAAGATTTTTTAGAAAATTATTTTGTGAATAAGGTTTTCTATTAAAGTCATTTGTTAAAGAGCCTGTTTTTAACCTTTTTGTAAACACAAGGGTACGTAAGATTGGAGCCAGTTGTTGTGCCAATTTACACAACAACATTGAGCATGTTGGAGTTAGGAATGGAAGTGGAATCTGTAGGTAAGAGTGTTATGTGCCTTCTCGAAGACCCACAAGGAAATCCTTTGGACAGTCCCATGTTCCTTCCTTTAACGTTTGGCCCTGAACATCTATTACAAGTTGTTAATCAACTTCTTAACAATGTAAGCTTCATGCATATTTTTTCTTTTCATTTGTAGTTTTGATGTTGAAAACAAAAATAGTTAGATGGTGAAAGGCTTTTGAAATTCAAGATCACGTGGGTTGCTCTTTTTTATATGTTTTATTTATTTATTTATTCTTTTTGCATTTCTGCTTGTCAAGGAGGAGAAGTTGCCATACGCTTTCTATGTGTCAGACAAAGAACTTATTGTGCCGCTTGGTGTATACTTGGAGAAGAATAAAGGTTAGTCGAATCTCAAGAAGTACTCTGAGGTTATGTGTGTGTGTGTATGTGTAGTCTAGCATGTTGTAAATTTTAAATGTGTTTTTAGTGGGTGGTTAATATCTCTGATCACGGAAAAACTTTGCAGTTTCTGTGGAGAAGGTGCTCTCGATAGTTTATCAACCTCAAGCTGTTTTCCGTGTCAGACCAGTCTATCGTTGCTCTGCAACTATTGCTGGTAGTTTGTTCTATTCTTTGCTATTGCTATATTTTCCTGCGTCTACAAATTTGTACTACAGCGACTAATATGCTCAGGACAGATAGATGTAACAGATTCTGAATTCGCCTTTTGTTTTGCCAACCTCAGTCACCATCTTTGTTAGTCTTCTCTATATAGTACATATTAGTGACCAATGCACGAAAAAATTATCAGTTTCTTTTTTCATAATTTTATCTTTCAAGGAAACCTGGGCATGTTAT